TAATGCCTCAGCACGGGGAGCGGGTACCCACTGAAGTATGTGCCTCTTTCAGCATTGCTGCCGACTTCCTGCCCACGTTCATGTACTGCCTAGGCAGCCGGGACTTTGAGGTGGTGCAGACAGCCCTCAGGAACCTGCCCGAGTATACCCTCCTCTGCCAAGGTGAGTGGCTGACCCCATCTCAGGCCCCCGCCCACATTCCCAGTTCTGAAAGTCCTTGGCCCCATGACCAGCTCCTAGGGAAAGCCTGGAAGCTTATCTTCCAGGGGCTGCCTGGCTGCCATACTTGCCCATATCTCAAGGCATGGTCACCATGACCAGGGTGTCTAGGGCCAGGGCCTTGCAGGGTCCTCATCTCTCCCACAGAGCACGCAGCCGTGCTGCTGCACCGGGCCTTCCTAGTGGGCATGTACGGCCAGGTGGACACCAGCGCCCAGATCTCCGAGGCCCTGAAGATCCTGCACATGGAGGCCGTGATGTGAACCTGTTCCCAACCCTCGCCTTCAGTCCCCACAGAAGGCCCTGGTGCAGGACTTGGTCCTTACCCCTCTATCAAAGCCTCAAATGAATGTGAGAAGGGTAGCCACCCCTCCTGGGTGGCTGAGGAGCACTCAGCCAGGGCGTGGAGCCAGCTGGATACACAACTCCCAGCCTCCCCAGTACCTTCCTGCTCCCTACTGCCCACCCTGCCCAGAGCAAAGCCCATACCCAGCACCCTGAACTCCAGCAGAGCTGCCTGCTGACCCCCAAGTCCCTGCTGCTTTTCATCCTCCCAGTTCGTCTCCAAGGCCTGCCCTCCTCACTCTCCCTGCACACCTTCATGAAGCTCCAGAAACCCCGTTGGCTTGCTCTCAGCTTCTCTGGTGTTAGACCCCATGTTTTGTGGCTTGCAATGCCTGGCGTGGGGGCCAGTGGAATTGGTGTGGCCTTTCCAGGGGTCAGAGTGCCAGCCTCCCATCTCTATAAATGAGACCAGGGAAGGGCATACAACACAGGAGGCCCTTCCCAGGCTGCCCCTGCAACTGAGCAGCATATCAAGTCTGGCTGCTGGGAATGACCATGTCCAGAACACCCCACCTTGCATCATGTCATCAATGTCACTTCTCCAGCTTCGGTAATAGCCTGTGGCGTAGCTATGTGCCGAAGTGCCACTACCTCAGCCCAGAACTGCAGAGACACCTGAAGGGGTGGGTGGTGTGTTTCCACTGCGTGGCTGAGAAGACAGACCCAAATGTTGAGGAAGGTGCCAGGAACTCTGGAAGGAAGGCTAGAGCAGGAGCCCACATCTGGATCCCCGTTACACAACTGCTTTGAGCACTTCACCCTCTTGCCATGGGTGCAGGAAGGGCAGAGGGCAGTGTGGGAACCTTGGGGGCCCTCATCCCACCTGGTCCTACCAGTGTCTTAGCCCTCGTCCATCTTGGGCCTACCTTCTGGTTTCCAGCTTGCTGGCTTACAGCACAAACAACACCTTAATGTGGGGCATGAGGGGACAGAGGGCAGTGCTGTGGGCCTAGGAAAGGGAAAGCAAAGGCCTGATGGGCACCAGGAGAGCCTCAGCCTCATCGGGAGAGAAACGGAGGTTGCAGCAGCCCCGAGGCACTGTTTCCACCTTCAGGTTGGCAAAGATGGAACCAGTTGGTGGCCTGTGCCTGTGGAGGTGTGGGAGGCAGGCGGAGTGTGGACACATCCCCAGCCTACAGCTCCTCCTCCCAGGCCAGTACTACAGCACAAAATGTGGCCCTCCAGAGGGGACCGGATGTCCACCATGGCTTCCCCAGTGGGCTGCGGGGCGGCCTTGGGGACACTTGAAGGTGTGTGGTGTGGGAGCTGTGCCTTGCTATTGGGTAGCAGGTGCCCGTGAAACGCCCCCTGCTGCGGTGAACGGTGGCCAGCCTGTGCAGAGCGCCAGCCCCTGCAATACACCTGGGAGCAGATGTGATGGCAGGCCAGCTCCAGGCAGCTGGCTAGTTAGGAGCAGAGCTGAGGTTTGAACTTAGGCCCCTGGCCACTGAACTGCACCACCCCTGGTGGGAAGGGGCCCAGAGGAGCAAGACAAGCATGAACTCAGCCCAGGGCCCTGTGACTTGTGTGGGAAGAAGGGGCCTGAGAGGCTGGGCAGGCGCAGGCTGTGTCTGATCTGCTGAGGTGTGTGCAGGTGAGGTGAGCCCCTCAGGGGTCCTGCATTACCTGAGGCTTAGAATTCAGAAACAGACTTCAGCTCAGAAAGGGGACGTGCCCCACCTCCATCTGGTACAGTGAGCTGGAGCCAGTGGTTCCCTTCCAAGCCCTATGGGCCTTGGGACCCTGTTCTATGCTTCACACCCAAACTCCAGCCCTAAGTGGCTGGGCTGCTTCTAGGCCTGAACATGGGACCCTTGCCCCACAGGCCACAGTGCAGCTTCCTGAAGGCAGAGGTCTGATGGGCAGCCCAGGAGCGCAGCTCAGAACTTTCCAGATCCTGACGCTCCTCCCATCTGCTCAGTGCCCCAGCCATGTCCTCTCTGAAGCACAAACTTAATGTTCCTTCCTGTTTT